TCATATTTTTTTATGTGATCGGATATTTCATCTAAAATTCCACTGTTTTATTTTTTATGTATTTTTGTTACAAAAAAAATTTCACTCATTTAAATTTTGACTATGCTTTTTGGAGACTCAGTTTTCGCGTTAAAATTGAGCGTAGACATAACGGAAGCCTTATAACTATCTGATCACTTGCACGAGTAAGTAGCCTACGTGTGAATTAATTTAATACTTTGAGTTGAGTGAACACGTACTACTTCTTTTGACAACACCTTCGAATTTAAATTCTGTACGTTTTAAAACTTATGTTTGCTCTAATGATAATGTAATCTCGCGCAAGGACTGTTCGCAGAGCACTTAGTTGGACACTCGTCTTCGCTATACCCAAATTCAATATCAAGCATTCACGATAATAAATTATCATGTTGTCCTGCTGCAAATTATATTTCGATTAGGTCGGTAGGATTACATAACCATCGAACTACATGCGCATTAGAGTTCGCGCTTATTTTATGGAGATTACGCACTATCCATTATTGTCATTAAAAATAACGCAAAGATAGTACTCCATTTTCCTGGCAGTTCGTGATTGTCTTGATTTACGTTTCGATGGTTTGATGCAAACAAGCTAAAAAAAATACCCCTCAAGATTATGGTTTTTGAATTCAACTTATGAACATCTATTCGAAAACGCCCCCAACAATAAATAAATTGAATTGCACCTGCATTCCAAAAGAGAAATATTGTCTGGTGTAGAACAAAATAATTCATATGTAATAAATATAGAAAAGACTTAGTACTAAAAAATCCACATCAGGAATTCTGTCACGACACACACTATTCCATGAAAATCTATTGACTTTTTAGAATCATTCTGGTATGATCGATATAGTAATGTCATATATGTATAATATTTAAAGCGTCGTACTTTTATTGTCTGGTCGAAATAGGTAAAAAAAACAATTAAATATATATATATTGGAAGTGGTTTGGTATAAGATATACAACCTGAAACACAAACATCGAGTGATTGGTAAATTTGGCTGTACCTTTGTAATTAATCTATTCTATAGGATGTAATTTGAAACGATTTTGGTTTGTTTCAAGGATCTATTCAGATGATAAATAAACACTAAAACGCATTCAGATTCGAAAATCATGAACTTGTTTCATGGAGGTCAATGACATAACGTCTCGCTTGTTTTAAAAAACTAAATGCTTTATGACGTTAGTCGCGCAAATGAGTATACAAAGAAGGATTTATTTCCTTTAGATGGAAAGTTTAAATCATGTAGGTATACTGTGAATTGAATGAGTCTAACAATTTTTATATATGAAATTTGATATTGGTTGTGCCATGAGCAATTGAATCAATAAATTAATAAAACAGAGAGTATTGAATGCTGAATTAATGTATGTGATTAAAAAAATGTCTGACCACATGTTGGTTTGTCTCCTGCTCGTGATCAAACGTGAAGTTCTTGAAAAATGTAACCTGTTAGAGTTCGCGTTAGCGCTATAAACACACCTTATCGCATCCTGACACGATGGCTCCTTTGTCTACTTCATATTCTGCACGTTCGCAATATTCACCTTCTGTCGGGTTCAAGGCTGATAATAAATGCAAATATTGTGTTGTAGCTGGTTGCGATCGACCCAAACTTGAATCAGACTATTACACATTTCAGTTATCCCTGATCCATATACTTATATATCATATAAATATGTATGTGTGTGTCTTTGAATCTTTCAAAACCGTCAGCAACAACACAATCGGAAAACAAAAAATTCTAAGAAATTCTATATATATGTGTAATGAAAATATGCATTTTTGATGTACCGCCAAAAATTTTAACAAGCAGAAATTTGAGTTGTTAAATCTCCCTTTGGTAAAGCCAGATCAACGTTATCCGACCAGAAAACACCAAACAGAAAAGACATCCTTGAAGACATCTGACTGCTTTGCTTGAGATATTGTGAAAATTTTGTACAATAATGTAAATAAATATGTACAGAATACGGGTCATGCTGCTTTTCCTTTCCAAATACTTCGCGTTCTAATTACCCATCAATTTTGGGCGCTCCCGAAGTATGTGCATCAAGATGGTTCACAACCTTAACCCTAAACTGGTACATATACTATGTTCATACTTCTGGAGGTTCCAATTTTGGAGTGAAACAGTCTGCATTCGTAATAAGTAGTTTAAAACATTTATTTGTATTTCGAACCACCTTATGACGTTATGCGTAAAGCAAGATATAGCTGTCATTTTGCCGGATAGCCTTTTGCACAACAAATCGATATGTGAGTAACCGTAAGTAAATATAATTATATTATTGCTATTGGTTAGAGTTGAAATAAAACTCAAGGAAATTGATTAATGTAGGCATATGTTCTTGATACAAAGACGGTTTTATGCAAAAATGTTTCTTGGACAGACACGAAATCTGCAAAACACCAAAAACATTGTTTACTGAATGTTGTCAGATATAATACGACAAACCATTCCTTCCTATCAACAATAATGTACAGCATTCCCAGATTGAACAAATTTGAGTGTTTATATCAGCTGGTTCAAGTTTGTGAATCACATAGAACTTCCATAATTCTAATATGTATCGAAGTTTGGACCTTTCTATGTTAGCATTGCTTTGAAATAATGATTTCATTGTCAAATAGCATAGATTAGGGAAATTTTTTCTATATTGTAATAATTTTTGCGGTAAATGATGAAACAATTTAAAACAGCATATAAAGTCGACGAAAACTTCTAACAGTGTTCAATATATACTATACATTTTATGTTTGAAGCAATCAAAAATTGTTCTGCAGAGCGCAGGTAAAGATAATTGCAAGAAGGCTGCTGGCTTAAAGATGGCTGCTGGTGGAATCCCCTATCCACCATTTAACCCAGGGTATTACATTGAGTGTGCAACGCCGAAACGGTTTTTTCAAAAATAATAGCTTCATATAGGGATCGATGCCAGCACGTAAAGGGCCTTGTTCAGAGTGAAGCCGTGGAAATAATTCATTAAAAATCTAGATCTTTTTTCTATTCCTAACAACTCAACTACTTTTTGTTTTGCAAGCCAGAAAAATGAATGGCCTTGCGGGCATACCGATCATATATGCCGTTGTGTGACAGTCGTTTGGCAAGAATGATTAAATTAACTGTAGTTTTGCACATAGCATCGTGATAAGTTTGTTTGTGTTGAATGTTGGTAAAGAATTAAAATCTGTTTCACGATGACTTTCAATTTTCGAGCGCTTCTTTTAATCTTTTTGTATAATAATGTGAAAGCAGATATTTATTCTATTTTCAACTAAATACTATTTAGATTTTTCAAACACTCTAGCACGCTGAAAAGTTGTTTCACGTCAGTCGAAAAGAGACCATATCCATACTTCTCAGAATCAAACTTACGGAATGTAATCGCACTAGTTTTTTTTTTTTGTAGTAAATCAGCGATTATTTTAACATCTATTTGTGCGTTTGTTTTGCCTTTCAAAGCATGATGACGGCAAGCGATCGATCAGATTGGCGTTGAGTGGAATAGTAAGCAAGTTTGACCATACATGTTGGCGTCCCGAGTTCTCCAGTTCGGACCTCATGCCTACAACCCAATCAATAGTATATGTATATATATTATACATATTTATTTGTGTGAATTTTTAACAGAAAACAACTTTCGATTTTGATATGCCGAAAAATTGGTACATATTCGTTATTCAGCTATCAAAAATTTTGTTGAAAATTGTTAGAAAGTTTTTATGAAAACACATAAGTGTGCCACAATGTTTTTCTATGTATATATGTCTTTCAGCGTTGGGTAGAAGTCACTGAATGTCGGGTCGCGAGTCAAATCAAGTCATGGTTTATCCGAATCCGGAGTCTAGTCACTTATCCGACGTCGAGTCCATGCACTCCTGAGTCATCAGTCAAGTAGGGTCCCAGATGTTCCGAATAAAAAGTTGAGTCCGGAGTCATAACAGAGATAAACACCAGTGAAATGGATAAATGCAAGTCAAATTAAAACTATAAAATGATACTTCCCATCTTTTTTTCAAATCAGAACCGGCAACCTTTTTATGTCGGGAACGAAATGGACATATCATATTCTAAGCGGGCCGTTTAGGATTTCTACTTACAATTAAGTGGGTGAAACAAAATATTGTAGATTTTCTATTAATTTTGCATGAAACCGTAGTAAAATAATGAAAAATCTGTATATATGGCCTCTTTTCAATCCGATGTTTAGTTTTCGTCCAAATCGAGGCAGCTTAAATTTAAAATGAGCGCAAAATTTTATGCCATACACGTAATGAAGACAAAGTGCGCCTGCTACCGACAAGGTGGCAATCAATTAACGCAAATTTTTCGACGATAGACTATTTTGACAAAGATCGATTCTTAATAAAACTGCTCGGGCAAGATTTCAATTTTGCTAATCGCAGTCGTCGTTTGATGCTTGGTATATGGTCGTAGACGTACTAAAACCGCTGACTGCAACAAATCAATTGACACAGACACAATCGATGACACACGAAAACGAAATACCTGATATTAGACAAGACGTGTTTTGTAGTTACAAATTTAAACATCGCGACGGGGTCATGTTGCCGAATCCCACCTTAAACCAACGTTATTGTGGAATATAACCAGGATTTGGCAACAGTTACATCGGTTACGCTTGTTACGAGTTGTTGATGCAACAATCTTGCAAATTTTAAATTTTTTAGTATAGCATTACCAAGCGTCGTAAATCGTACTTTTCCGGAATTTTTCAACTATTTGAAAAATTCGTCACAATTTATTTTCGAGTTAAGTTTCTCTGGTGAATTCAAGTCGAGTTTTTTCTATCAACTGGCTCAGGTCATTGAAAAACGTGTGATTGGTAGAATTATTACCCCACGAATCTAGGATACGTCAACATGTTCGAAACAGGTGAATCCTGATGTGACAAACTAAAATATTTTCACGTATATATGAAATAAATACACCATCACATGTTTCAAAACTTCAATTTTATTCGACTAATAACTAATATTCGGGCAATGCTTTACCAGGATCCCGTTTTTGTAGAAGCAAGCCTGGCACCCTCCACAATAAAAGGCTTCACACACTGCACCGTCGCAATGTTCAAACTGACACGGGTCCGCTACGCAGTCCACCTTACATCGCTGTGGACATCGGTCAATATTCCTCTGAAAGTAAGCTGCAATATAAATAGAACAATAGAATTGGAATTATTCTATATATTGGAATTTTTCCTTAAAGCGTATACTGTATTATATATCAACAAATAAATGTAATCTTTTAATTCGAAATTTGCTTAATCCTCTCCAACCACACTATAGCAGCCAAGCTCATATATAGGCCTTATATTATACTAAATTTTTTGGCAATTTGGTGCAAACAGCAAAACGGAGTTTGAGTTTTGTACAATAGTAAAATTTTTTATGAAATGTGAATGACGGGTAAATCGACTAGAATATATATAACTAACTATAAATAACAATTTCGCAAATAATTCCAAAGGTTCACTTCGTTACTGTTATCCTCTTGAGAAGAATCTCAGGAATAAAGTAAAACATGGCTAGTACGTCATACAAAATGGGGCTGAAATCAAGCAAAAAACATGAAATTGGTTCAATTTTAATACGTAAGTATAATACTCACGACATGATGGACAGTAATATCCTCTAGCTCTAGCAGATACCGACATCAGAAAGCATGTTGCCAGAACAAAACCGAGAATAAAGAGGTTTTTCATCATTGTTTGTTTCAATTGGCTGTAAAATATATTAAACAAACTGAGGATTTTTATACCAGCCTTAAGTATAAGATAAAAATATTTAAATATTCATGTTAATTACTGCTATTTACAAATAATACATCTAGATTTGTTCGGTTAACACAGATTGTATTTATTTACTTAAGTCCCGGACTAAATTATCGTACCATTTCGGGCTGAAATTTCCAGAAAACCTACGAGAAAGTGGCAAAAACAGTGCTTTTTTGGTGGTTGAAAAAACCTTATATATATGTAAATATTTGTTTCTCCATTAGAGGCTGAAATTTATTGAAGCCTACTACAACAGTCGGAGGATCTAAAAAAGTAGGTTAGGATATAAATTAGAATGTCACCATATTGCTACCTTAAAAATCATTAGATAATACAACATACAGTTTACCTGTCCGGTGAAATTATAATGAGGTGCGTTCTCTGTAGACACGTCCTTATGAAATGAAGATCAACTCTAGGTCGATTATATATATATAACAAATTTTTAAGCCTAATAGGCTATGGATATTTTTTGCTAGTGTGCGATTATCGTGCACTTTCGAAGATTAAAAATGTGGTTAGTAAATTTCTTTCCATTTCGTCACTTTTTAATTATTTCGTGGAAGCAATTTTCACGATGACTTTCAATTTCAAAATAGTTAATAAAATTTCGATTAATATATATCGATAGTTAAGTATAGGAAGTGGTCGAATTATTAATTTGATTAGCGACTAAATTTAATTGCGTTAACGTTAGATTACAAAATACTTACTCAAATTAATACCCTTATCAGAATGATAATTGGACAGGGGGATGTACTTTTATACTTTTTTTATATTTGATGAATATGGAATCCAATCTTAAAAAATAAAATCCTATTCAAATGGATGTGAATAGCCACACTTAAACATACCCAAGATGGATATTCAGTTTAAAATGTAACTTTTTGTTTCCGCGTTTCTGGGCATCGTGTGTATATAGGGCACGGTTTTAGGATTAGGATTTACCTATTGATTCCGAGAGAGATGAAAGCCGATAAGACGGCTTAGTCATATGGCGAACCACGGTTTCTCGTCCGGTTACCAGTACATGTCGGGTATGGGAATTGTCAGTCAGTAAATTGTTTCAGATGCATGAACTTGATGATAGAGGAAGCCGTAACCGACCAGCAGTTACTCAAACCACCCTGCGGTGGCGAGGAGCCAAGCTCGAATGCGAACCCATACAGGGTAATTAGAGGTGATGCTCAAACATAATATATCACCCACTCTATACTGTTGGCACTAAAATACGCAACAGCTCGGCCCCGAGCACTAAATTCACGAGCCTAGTCTTCAAAATCACCGCCCCAATTTTATCCGAAATACGGATTCAGTCGCTTCAGGTCGCTTTACTATTTATTGGACATAGAGTAGATCTATGGATCGTTTTGTATTTATGTTGTTGTTGTTAGACTTTTCTTCTTTTTGTTACCGCATAAAAAAATTGCTGTTCTCATAACTGCTGGTCCAATTGTTTTAAATTATCCAGTGCTTAAAGATTATATTTTTCGCTAAAAGGCTATTACTTTTATTTGTTTATGAATTTTCTATTAGATCTGATATTTCATCTAAAATTCCGCTGTTTTATTTTTTTTTATGTATTTTTGTTACAAAAATTTCATAGACAACCTAGATTTGAATATTTTAAATTTTTACTATATGCTTTTTCTAGGTATACTAAAAACTCAGTTTCCGCGTTGAAATTGATCGTAGACAATATGGAAGCCCTATAACTGATCACTTGCACGAATGTGCATCTGCGCCCTGCGGTGTTAAACTGCAAGCTTCTCAATAAACCTTACCATGTGTGTGAGTCCGTGTGAATTAATTTGATACTTTTAGGCGAGGGAACACGTACCGGTAACATTTCTTTTGACAACACCTTCTAATTTGAATTCTGTGCGTTTTAAACCTTATGGTTTCTCCAATGATTCTGTAATCAGTTATATTTCTTCGAATTTATCAAATATCTCAATGTCTGATTATGGAGTCGAAATAAACTTATACCTATATACTAAGAAGACTACTAAGGGAAAAGAGTTTTGGCAAAATACACAATATTTATTTATTAAAATATACCAATGAATAAAATGTAACCGTGAAACGTACATGTTCTTAAAATTTCAAGTTTATACACACGTTCTATATCCTATTTTATTCGAAATACAAGCAAACGAAAATACATGTATTTGTATTATTGGAATATTTAAAAAACAATATTTAATATATTCAAAACAATTTCTAAACATATATACATAAGTTAAGCGCAAATCATCATTGTCCATCCGTACTAGGCAGGAGTAAATTTGACTTGAAAATAATATAAATCGAATACAAAATAGAACTATTATGTAGTAGTGATATGCTTGACAACATGAGCCGCTTCCACAACTGTTAGAATTGGTCTTCTTACCCGTGGATCCAATACTGGGACTGAGAGCCTGAAAAGAATGTACAGAATGATTATTTTGTTTTGGTAATATTATCAATAACTATAAATACGGAAACATGTGACCAGACACCAGCTTTCGAGCAATTCCTGGTTGACAATTCAAGTTCCCACATAACTCTCTGCTTTTTTAGTTTCCGATTGAATTTTTACATTGATTATCACGATTAGAAGTCCATACATCAGGCCACATCAAGAATTCAATATTTCTATTTCCACCAACTCCCGACCCCAAGAGTCCGCAAACAAGACTCCGGCACCACAGATCATCAATAAAAGCAAGCCAAACTCTGACTCTGATTCTGAATGTGATCAAAGCTATATCACAATGTTAAACAAGGTTATAGTTTATCTAAAAACAATGTAATACCAATTCCCATAACATAAAAATATGATATATCTAATAATAATTACGAGATGAGTTCCAGAAAACACAAAAATAAAACGTTTTTTATATCCTACATAGAGGACACAAAGTACAAACTTTAGTAGATCAAGGTTATTTATCAAAAAATAGATTTGATTTTTTTAATCACAGTAAACACTTGAACTTTAGGAACTGTATGTGGGATGTCTGAAATTTTCATTAGGATTTATATATTTATCCCGGGGGAGAGGAAAGTCGAAAAGACGGCTCAACCATATGGCGAAACACCGCCTCTCGTCCGGTTACCACTCAATGTCGGGTATGGGATTAGTTAGTTATTTGTTATCGGAAGCATGGACTTGATGGTGGAGGAAGCCGTAACCGACCAGCGGTTACGTGAACCATCCTACGGCGGCGAGGAGTCCAGCAATCCTCTAGCACATAACCATCCCCGCATGGGATTTGAACCTGCAAACCCACGCAGAGTTTTCAGAGGTGCGGTGGCGAGCGTAAACCTAACGCATAGCACGATGAGCCACACCGCATTCACATTCTCTGTCTAGAGCCTTGTTTGAAGAGAAATTATAAAGAAACACATATAATGACAATAAAAAAAATGTATGACTATATGGATTCTAATAATTTCTGGTTTGAAAATGCCTCAAATAAGAACGATTCCCATATGCGAAAATTCTACTGCAAGTCTGGTTGAAACCATTTTCATACCTTAAACTTATTTATGGTATGACATAAAAATAGTTCAATAGCAATACAGACTATGCTGTATGTACTGTATACTGCAAAGCTTAATCAGACGACATGAAAGCCAGATTATGGACCAAAATCCTTTTTTAACCATTCTTTGCACCAATACATTGAATTCTATATACAAAACACAAATAATAAAATAAAAAACCAAACCAAATGTTAATGATTATTAAACAAACAGCACAGCAATCATTATCCCTAACAATATATACCATCAGGTTGTTTCCTGGAGGCATCTTGTAATAATAATAACTTGTTTGCGTTTTCAACTCGCGAGTCCATAACAGGAACAGAAAATCTGTGCAGATTTCAGTTTGAAATATAATTTTACTCAGGAGATTTTATTGGAGTTCTAGTACAGGACATTTGAACCCTAGTTTCAGAATATCTAGCTTTTTTCACCAGATTTATTTTTAAAATACAAAAAAAAAATTTTTTTGCTAAAAATTTTACTAACAATGCCCGCTTTTAATCAATAAAATTGTAATTTTGAACCAAAAATAACAAATAAAATTAAAAAAAAAATGAAAGGTCTTCATTAACTTATTTGTGTACTTAAAATAATTTTTGATTTTATATAATGTGCAAGTGATCTGAAATAACACAGAACGCTGGAAAAAGAAGAAAAAAAGTAAGTTGTTTTTTTAACTTGATAATATATACATACTTAACGTTAGTCTTGTGGTTGACAACAAACAGTGGATTGCTTTGACTCAATATTTCATCGTTAACTGAAATTCCATCCAAATATTGTTTCAAAACTGTACGAAGCTGTTGATTTTCCTAAGGAATAAGAAGATTTAGAAATTTAAAAATTGAAACTTTTTTGGCAACATTTACTGGTAAATCTAACACAGTTTCTACTGCATGATAACACCAAAAATTTTACCAGAGATTAATAGATACGTTCTTATTAGTTAAATTTATATATTCAGTTATGTCAAAAAGTTTGACTAACTTCATGGAATATTTACTCAAATTTTTTTAAAAGAATTTACACGCAGTGAGGTAAACTCACTCAAAAATAAAGGGACACTCATCTCGTAGCAAAGTTATGGGTGACTACGGAAATCTGAAAAGCTAATAAAATCAATATATATTTTTGATGGTTTATTTTGCACCAAAAAATAGCTATTGGCACAAGACTTAAGGAATATGAAAATAATATTAAAAATTAGTAAATTACTTGTGCCAATGTTTGTTTTTCTTTATCAAGAGCTAGTTTATCCAGCAGAACTTTATTATATCGTTTCCAAAAATTTTCCAAAGCATGATATTCATGCATTATTCCAGATAATGGTTCACTTGGTTCTTCCATCATTGCAGCCTAAAACACATGAAAAGAATAAGTTATAGTTTATAAGCCTATCAACACTCTAGAGCAGGAGGGGGCGCAAGGTTTTTGGACCATTTTGCTCATTCAGACCATATAAGTGTAGCGTAAAAAGTTCCATTTTAGGAAGACTGTTACAAAAGGGTGAGTGGAAACAATAATCCTTGTGCAAAAACTCAATTTAATCGCAACCTCAACAAATTCCTGGAGCCCTTTTTTCAGATAAAACAGCAAAATTTGGTTTTAGTTTGAGTGTGGCCATTGTCAAAACAGATTTGGGATTTCAATAACAATTAGTATGTAGCGCATGCAGAATTGATTGAAAGCAAAAATTTATGACAGCATCAGGCGGGCCAGTTGAAACACCCAATGGGCTGGATTTTGCTGCAGGCGGTAGTTTGTCCATGTCAGTAATTGAGTAAGAATGATTTACAATCAACTACGGTTGGAAACAATTTCGGTACAGACCCAGGGTTAAAATGAATCCAAATCTTGCCTCCAATTCCGAGTTCTCAAAAATATCAAAGTACCGAATTCTCTTGCTCCAAACTCTCGAGAAAATCAAATTTTGAACAAAATCTTCAAAGTATGCAAACCTTTTTTAATAGACTGTTATGAACGTTCGATAAACTTAGCGCTTTTTGAGTTTCTGTGGGAAATTTTGAATTTTTTATTACCATTGTGAGTCTGTAATTCTGACTCACGAGTCACGATTCCAAAGAATTCAAAATATTGACCTCGTCTTCCTACTCAGGGACTACACTACGTCTACAAACTTGACTCTAATGAAAACATGCCTAACTCAGACTCCCCACACATCTCTGCCTAAATCTAACGAAGGGTGTGATCAAAACAAGAAAATGAGTAAAAAGTTAGTTCCATTTTTTGTATAATCATAATATAAAATGAACATACATCAATGTCTTCCTCTTCTTCTTTTGTTAAACTCGATGCAAAAAAGGGCAAAACTTTTTCCTCCTCTGTTTCCAATTTTCGACACATTTCTGCAAGCTTAAGGATTCTATCTCCTTTCTCATAAACTCTGTAACAAATATCACCAATTACTAGTCACTATGCCCTGAATTAAATATTAACTTCAATTAGCAGTGGAATTCAAATATTATCAATGACGATGACGAAATTTCCATTATAACGGTTGATGCTATCTGCAATAATAAATTTTACATCAACAGTAATTTCCACAAAAAATTAGATGATTATAGTATGTTCACAGAGTTTGTATGTAAATTTTGAACTGAACAAGAAGCATGCTCGGCCAAAGATACTTTTATCAAAAACAAACAATACTGATTTGTGGAGACAATGTTTTTTTCGAAAATATAAAGGATTTGCTGTGTTGGCATCACAAGTTACACATTTCTTTACACTAAACCTGTAACAGCGGTGTCTGTAACTGTAGGTGTCGCTGTTTGAAGACCTCATGAGGTCCCTCGTGACTCCTGTCACATACAAAACGTTATTTGTATATTTATTTTCAGTATCAATTTCTGTGCACTTATTTTTTGTAATGACAAATAAACAATTGGCTGATTGACTAAGATATCAGTGGTTCCTTCTACGAAGCCTTGTTTTGGTCCGAGAGGGGTAAATAGGTGCCATAAAAAGTATTATGCAATGAAATGTTCCTCAGCATACTTTATACCTTGATAATGTCTTTATGGAGTTGTTACTTTGCAAAGTCAATGTTGTTAGTTTTACTCTATCTCTTTCTCTTTCTGTGTTCATTTCACTTTTTAATTCTTGAAAATGTCTTAAAATCAGCTCCCTTTCTTCTTTCAAATGGCGATTTCTTTCTTCACACTCTCTCGTATTTTGCTGCATTTTGGCTCTCAGCTGCATTATCGTATCCTGGTAATAAAAAGATACATTTTTATCAGAAAAAAACACTATAAAAATTAAATATATAATACATACAAATCTTCCAGTGATAAATTTACCTGTATTCTCTGTAATTTCTTCATTTGCATTTCAATTTCTTTTGCACTTTTTTCATCTTTCGATTTCAGATTTTCGAAAGCAATTTTACGTTCCTCTGTTGTTTCATTGTAGCTTTTCAATGCAGCTTGAAATTGTTTCCACAAAGCTTCCACAGACGCTTCAAGTTGAATACGTAAAGCATGTTTTTCTTCTAAATTCTGTAAAAAAAAATGGCAAGAATATAAAGTACAAGAATTAGTGATTTTATTACTTATCGATCTTAAGATCAGTAAGTATGTTGATAGGTATTTGTCTGTCTGTCTGTCTGTTAGTTTGTCTGTTAGATGAACGCGATATATCACGAAGGCGAGGTTGAATCTGCTCCAAATTTTGCATGTGCATTCATCATATCTCAGACCAGAAGCCTATTGATTTTGGATGAATTATGTCGCATAATTAGCGAGTTATTAATTAATCAGTGATGGGACATGCAGTGTCACTATAGAGTAATGAATCGAAACCGCAGTTTCGATCGATAAGGCTTCGATCTTCGACCGATATTCTCGTTTTAATAGTTAAGACATTTATTTGATAATGTAGGCAAAGATTTGGGGACCGATGAAAGAATCTTGGAATGAAACAGAAATTTTATAATTATCCTGATGGAGAGGAAGTTGATAAGACTGCTCAATGATATGACGGAACATGAACCACTGTAATTTAGTTCAAAAATCCTCCCACCACCGAAACAGGTAAACCTGTGCATGGTAATCAGAGATGCAATGTCAAGTGTGTTCCTGTTTAGCAAGATGTGCCGCCAAGCGTTAAATTAAGTTACATACAGCAACAACATGAGTTTGAGAATATATCACCATAAACATTAATCATCTTGCGATACAAATGCTGATAAAAAGGCCACTCGTGCTTTCACTCTGAACATGGCTAAAATACAGTAAATGCACCATTGACCAACTCACCCAAAGTCTAATAAAGTGAGTAGGGACGGCCGAACAAGAAATATCTTGTTCTTCCAAAAATAGTAGCTACTCATCGAGCACTGGCCTTTTTTGGAGCAAAAGCCAAAAATAAGCAATGTATATAAAAATTATTGTTTAAAAATTATAGAATTGAATTCCCAAATCAAACCTTGTTTTTAATTTCATCTCTCATGCTTTGAAATTCTTGTCTGGCATCGGATTCTCTCTCTGAATAGTTTTGTTCCATTGCAAACGAAACATCTTGAAGCATTTTCTGTTCAGTTTTTCTGTCTGTTGTCACCTGCAATCATAAAAAAGACTGACATAGTGAACCCTAGTAAGAAAGCCAATTTTGTTTTTAAAGAGATTTTGCCCAAAGCAGTGCCAAGCACTCTCACTCCGAGGTAAATAGTTATGGGTTATTTGATAGCGATGAGCAACTGAACAGTACAGAATTATGGTTGTATGTCAAATGTTAGTAAATTCCGATTAAAACCTTACTTCAAGTCATCCAAGTCAATAAAAACCAGAAATGATTAGTGAATTCCGCACAACTGGAGTTCTTAGAAAAAAATAAAAATCTTTTTGTCTTGAGGGAACACTGACATAAAATGGAGGAGATCTCACAGCTATCAGAGTTAGACGACTGAAAGGTTTTATAATATTATCATCTGGCATGGAACTTACCACTATATCAGTTAATCTATAACTGACTTCAGAATATTTTTGCCAGCAATTTACTTTTTAGTTTGCTTGAATTTTTCAGTGATGCACAGGCCTACCAATCAAGATTTACTAAAAAAAATTGATGGGAATATGAAACTAACATACTTTATCACCTTCATCTTCAAATTCTTTCTTTATTGTGTTCAATTCGTCATTATATTCACATTTTAAACGATCTAATCGACTTCTCTGAAGATCTAGTTTGAAAAATAAGAAATCAATAGCAAAATTGAATTTATTTGAATCTAGTAGTGAATTTTTTTAGGTTGGGAATATTTCAAAAAATCTTCATTTGAAAACGTAAGTCCTAGATCAAATGAAAATAAAAAAAAAAGATAATTTCGACAACATTGTACCATTATCAACATTCAACACCAATAAAAATACCTATATCCATCAATTTTATTCTCATGGCCGTGATAGTTAAAGTGTGAGATGTAACATTCCATACGCACCAGTCAACCAGGGTGTAATAAATTGAGTAGGCAATGCCTCACCTGATGGGGTCCTTCCAAATATTATGAGCTTCTTACATTTGGCTACTTGTACAGGGCATTGTTCAGAGCAAAAAACGCGAGTATTTTATAATGGAGAAGCTATCATTATTTAGAAAGATTGGAATCTTTCCGGTTTGGTATTTCTCGATTTTTTCAATGGCGCAACAATATTTTAACAAAGAGAAATTTGACATCTCTTGCAATATATGTTTTCACAAATGGTTTTTCTTATAAGATAAATTCAATATCAAACAATATGCATTGAGGTTGATTGCAGGATTACAGCCTTACCAACAATATCATCAATATTCTGGATATGACTTCGTAATGCGACTGCATATTGCTCTTCTGCTTCTCCTATATCAGTAGCCAGTGCTTTTATAACACTGTCCTTGCGATCTACCACTCGTTCAAATGTTTGGCTGAGAATTTCTATATCCTGGATGAAAAATTATTGAAATATAAAGAGTAATGCAAATGCACTAATTAATTAGCTTATATCTTTACTCTGTACTCTTCAGGTAGTCAGTAGAATAAAAACTATAGCATTTAAAAGTATGAGAAAAAGTTGAATGTATCATCTTATTGAAAAAAAGACTGCGAGGAAATAAAGCTGGTTATCAAACAATGACTCTCAAAATTTTAAAATGATCTAAATTTATATATTTCTGCACTACATAATATTTCAATCTTTATTTTCGTTGTAAAAATAGAAAATTTTACTATAAACAAAGATTCTTCGGGTCTCGTGTAGTTTCGTACCTAACGTACTTTTAGTGGGCGTAGCATAACAATTTTTTGATTACGCCATCCAAAAATTAAATCACTACATCACAATCACGGCATAGAGCTTGCCAAATATACGCACGATCGACCGAAACGACATTGGCACCGACGACGTTATCGGTCTCTCTCCTATTGGAATCGTTTTGACGAGAAACAAGAGAACTAACTGTTCGATTTCGGGTGCTCGTTTGCGCGTCTTGGATGGCAGTTCGTATAGTTTGAAGGGCTCTATTACGTCACTGTGACGTAATTTTTGGATGGTGTAGTCAGGTGGGGGTTAGGATTGATACGTGAAAAAATATTCATGCTACGCCCACTAGAAGTATGTTAGGTAAGAAACTACATGAGACCCGATTCTTCAATCGAATATTTGTAGAAAAAATTTGAAATTTCATTCAAATTGAAGAAAAAAATTTATGAAATATGCCACATACGATATGCTAAACTTATGCAAATTATTTCTGTTGTATAACAATAATAATAAAAAAATTACCACTGTACCTTACGTAGATCTTTTGACTTGCTATCTCTCATTATTTGTCTCCATTGTTGATTTAATCTATTCAGATTAACCTTCGTGCTTTTTTCTTCTTTCCCCAATTTGTCCTTAGGAGGAAAAAATTTATTTCATATTTACTGTATATATATTTCAAGCATTTCTATTATTACGAACAATGAAGTAGGCAACAATCGAGTTTAATATCTCTCTTATTTCTTTCTTGTTTTACTTTTTAAAAGTCAAAATTACAACCAGTTTTACTACTTACTGAATTCAGCGCAAAATACTACAAACAATGCAAAACAGAAGGAAATAGCGCAAAATTAAGAAAAACAGCGCAGAACTTAACCGTTGGACACAGAGAAACACATCATGGAAGGGAAGAATATCAGAATATAGTGCAAAACAGAAGAAGACAGCATAAAATAGAAGAGGCAGTTAGCTGTGTTTCGTGTGTCTATAGTAAGAGGTAGACCCAAACTACAAAACCCTGTCTGCCTGTCAGCACTAAATCCATAATACAGTATTAATGAAGCCTTGTGCTAAGCGTTAGAAATACACTCACCACCGCACCGCTGATTACCCTACGTTGCAGGTTAAAATTCCATGCGGGGATAGTTATGTGCGAGAGGATTGCTGGACTTCTCGCCACCACGGCTTCCTCCACCATCAAGTACCGGTACATACTTCCGACAACAAATGGTTGGCTAACTAATCCCTTACCAGACATTGACTGGTAACCGGACGAAAGGCCGTGGTTCGCCATATGATTGAGCCGTCTTATCGGCCTTCCTCTCCCCAGGATAAATATGTAAAATCCTATCCTATCCTACTGTCCTAGGCTAACCTTTAGAAATTGCATCAGCAAATCTTCTTTCTTTTTCCTTAATTCTTCCTCTGCAAGAGCTTTTTGTTCAAGAAATAGAATTCTCTCTTCTTCGCTCATTTTTGCCAATTTACCCCCCTTCTTTTTCCCAGACTTTTTCTTTTTCGCCATTTTGTAATTCAATTTCGAAATTTAGGGCAATTAGACCAAATAACAGACTGAGAATAAAAATATATATATTTTAAGATAAAATATAACGTTATATTATTTTACACCTGACCGTAATGCCACTAACGCAAATCGAAATGGATAAAGGTTACAAGCAGAGTAGACAATGCGCCATGAGACAGGCACCGAGAGGAACGGCAGACAGATATTACAGAACGCAAGTAAAGTTGTGATTTTGTCTCCATAGAAACCACCACTTGAGGTCGAATCGCCTTTCATTTCAGCTTTCGACAAAGCAGTACATTTATTTATGGCAGTACCATATTATATAAAGGCATTAGCGGTTACCGTGTTTTCCCCAAAATAAGACTCAGTTTGAACTAAAATATGCTTTTAATATAAGCCCTCCCATTAAAATAAGACCTCGGTGTTTTTTTTTCTTTTGTGTGTCATAATATTTTTTCGCCTGGTCTGTATACGATAGCAAGAAATCTATCCTACACGTTATAATAATATTAACAAGCATATTTTGATTTTTACGCAAAAAAAATCATACACAAAACACTAACAATGAACACACAAAAGATTGGGAAAATTGGGGAAACTGGAAAAACCTTAATAAAAGTTTAATACATGTAAATATGCATGCGCCAGTTTACCCACATTTTACACACAAACATATATTCAAAAGACAAAGACACGAACGGGTATCGTTCGGGCGTCAAACTTGTGTAACATAAACACTCGGTGGGTCCCAATTAATAAATACACTTTGGTAGGATGGAATGCATGACTATGGTATGTGTATCCAATGACAGTGGTTTTCCTACAAAAATATGGATTGAAAAACACTCGTTGACGTGAAATGGTGATGCAGTAGTTCAATTTCATTGCAAAAATAACACGCTTTAAAGTTTAAATGATTTATAATTATAATAATCTATGTTCAGCAGGTATTTTTAAATAAAAGCGTGTTATTTAATGTGTCGGATATCAGTATTCATATTTTGTATATTTGAAAATCTCGTAATTCCCTACTTTGTAATTTTGTTTTTGATAAATAAAAATAAATGAAATCCCCCCAAAATTAGCCCTGGTGTTATTTTCCGAAAGAGAATTGAAATAAGACCCTGTCTTATTTTCGGGAAAACACGGTAGTTGAATTTCAGTCTTGTAGTAAGCGTTAACTTATTGCTGCTAATTGACGGTTGATACGGAGAACATCGACTACGCCATTGCCATTGTCCTTGTCAGATATCGTGGCATAAAACATGACAAATAAAAACAAAACATGTTCTACACAATCACGGCTTCAAGAACATTGATTCAGAGATCATCTACTATTCAACGAAAGATTCAGTAAGCATACCATTCGAATGATTCGATTGCATGCCGTTTGGGCACATACGATGCTTCCGACTTTGTGACAGGCACATGTATATTTGTTATAATTAAGCTTCGGAATTGTTGAGACCTCGGAATTTCATTGTCGAACTGGCAACGAAACCATGAGGATTATTCGAACACTTCTGATTCTGTCAAAACAAAGATTCCCTACTCAACCAAAAGCTTCTATTGTTTTCCCACAAGAGGTAATTCAAAACTTCTGGAAGCTGCTGAAGAGTAAGAGACTATGGTGGCTTGCAATACCCACATTTTTCTGGGCACACCATGTTCAATACAGAAATGATGTTTCCTGCGTTGCTGCAGTCCGATCAGATGTAACACTGTATCCCAAAAACACACGTGCCATATTTTCATATTTAGCATTTCATATTAAAATTTTCAGTTGTTTTGCCTAATACAGTAGTCTGATAAATTTGTATCAACACTACACTATTGTGTGCATGGTTTTATGAGGATTCTGTTCCTGTTTCCCGTTATCATTATGTACTTCTTCCCAATAGGACGAATGAGAATTCATTTATTCTGTGTCAGTGTAATTAATGAGGTTATATAGGGGAAGGTGGGGCACGTTGGGACATGAGGCACAGTGGAAAATCAGCTCTCACACTGATACTATATCCGCAGTCCTGTCCGCGGTTAGATGTTTCAATCCGCCCTTCGGTGAGTTACAACGTCCCCGCAAACGAACAACGGACGGGTAGAGCGGCGCAAGCTATGAGGCGAAATTGGTTTTGTGGGGTTGAAACTAAAGTTTCACCGTTCCAGTTTTTTCTTTTTTCTACTTTAGCTTTTCCAACATGACAAAACACCGTCTGATGTTTTTCAGCTTTAGTCCACTGTAAAATATTCATAACGTTGGCGAGTGGATGTGCCTTCCGAATTTCGCCGTGGGATGGTCTGAAAATATTTGTTTCCTATGGGGGAACAATGGACCGGGGTTCAGTGGGACATGCCCTACAGGGCAAAATTCGACAGTGTTTGATACAATAAGTGCTCCGAGACCTAGAGATGCGTTATATTTTGTGTAATATTATGGTGTCTTTCGACCCATTGCCCAATATGAAATATATTCGAGAATCAATATTATTTCCAGATTTAGATTCGAGGAAGGTAATAATCAAATCTGTTTGCAAAATTTTTTGTCAATATATCTGAACTATTTCAGTTGAACATTGATTTAAAAATATTAAATCTTCAAATTTGAAGTCTCCCTGTTCTTTAGACGATTATGCTGAATAATTGCTTATTTTTAAGGGCATACTTCGTTGAATTTTGACAGACTGACCCATTGTGCCCCAGGGTCTGTCCGAATGTCTGTGGGGCACTTGACAGACGTTTTTCAAAGCATTTTGGTAGTAAGATGTGTGTCGCAAGGTAATTTCTTAGTCGCTGAATAAAAACTACATTTATCTCTCTATGCATTAGTCCCGCAAACTTAAGTGAATATGCAGAATGAACGGCTCAAAATATGCAAAAGCAAAAAAAGTGTCCCAACCGTCCCCACTTTCCCCTACCAACCTTCACACAAACCTTGGTAAAGGTTCACTGCATTGAGTTGGGCATGGCTAGTAAAAATAAGCAAAATCGAATATTGTTCAATTCCGAAAATTTATTCAATCCTAAGTTGTTACATGTTCAAAATAGTTCCAAAGAGAATGTTATGAGTAGTTTTTTTTAGATGATTCCTGACTTCGTTCCGGATTGCCCCACAAAATTTTAACAGGCAGTCACTATACCGGATAAATATTAACCAGGCGTTTCCAGATAATACTGAACATATTGTCAATGCCTGGTCAAGTAAATTATTTAAGCACTAAAGCTAGTTTAAACACTATCTGCTTTCAAATATGAGTACATATCTACAGCTGCTCGATCCCTACACAATTATGTATTTGGATTGATGTGGCCAAACAATTTTCGTGATGACACTGGAAGCTATTTCAATATTTTTTTCCCAGCCTGCAAAACGTTTGGTATTTTATTTTTTATTATTGGCATCGCGTTATATCAACATGATCAAAGCCCATCCACCGGAGTTAAAGAAGTATATGGTTAAAAGGTTGGATTTAAAGTTAAATGGAGGACGATCTGTTACGGGTGTTTTGCGAGGTTTCGATCCTTTTATGAATCTAGTTGTGGATGATGGAAGAGAGCGCAGAAAAGACGGGACGGACCACTGCACCTGTTGGAATGGTGGTCGTTCGTGGAAATTCGATTTTAATGTTGGAAGCGTTGGAACGGATGCAATGATTTTAAATTGAACTAATCGAAAACGACAAACGAATCCGATACCCCAATCCATGTTTGTGCATAGACTGTTATGAAACATTAAATCTATTTACAGAGCCTTTTTTCTAGTAACAATTTTTTTGTCACTGTGTTATTTTTGCAATGAAATTGAACTACAGCATGACCATTTTACGTCAACGAGTGTTTTTTATTCCATATTTTTGTAGGGAAAGCACTGTTGTGATACACATACCATGGCCATGCATTCCATCCTATCCGAGGGTATTTATTAATTAATTGGGACCCACCGAGTGTTCATGTTTACACAAATTTGACGCCCGAACAATACCCGTTCGCGTCTTTGTCTTTTTCATTTTGAATATATGTCTGTGTGTTGAATGTGGGTAAACTGGCGCATATATATGTACATGTATTAAACTTTTATTAAGGTTTTGCCAGTTTTCCCGATTTTCCCAATCTTCTGTGTGTTCATTGTTTGTGTTTTGTCTTTTGTGTATGATTTTTTTTTTGCGGGAAAATCCAAATATACTTATATATATATACTATAAGTAAAATAGAGTAATTTGCAGCAGCCTATTATGTTTTAAAAAGAATCATACACAGAACATCTACTTTGCCGTAATCAGTGAGCAAAAACAATATGTAAATGGTATACGATATCACATTACGAGTTAGTTACACTGATATATTTTCACACTAAGCACGTTAATCTGCTAAATTTTGAGAACTTGATCTGCCGTTCAAAATTGAACCTGAATGAATGATCACTGTGAAACTGTAGACTAATGTATTTAAGCATGTAATTGCGATATACTCCAATCATCAAATTACAAGTGAAAAAGGGTGTAATTTATAACTAGTACAATAAATAATTAAGTGTATTTTATAAGCCTATATGAAAATTATAAAACCGTGAGAATGTGGGTAGTACAGATGTAACTTATTTGTGTCGCGTATACAGCAAAAGTCGCTTCAGAATAGAAACGGTTGATAATGTGTAGTAACTTCGTTAAAATCCTGCTTATTCGTTATTGGCGCTTGATTAAATCATATCACCCATTTTAATATTTATCTATTATTTTAGTTTCGATAAAGCTTATTGCTTTGTTGAATTATACAATTTCATAACTCAAAACAAAAATTACAAAGTTGCAGTTCTTTTCGAATTTTACACCGAAATAATTTCATCAGATTATTGTAAAATGGAAAAGCAAAGTTTAACAATACCCTATTAATAACAACTTTTACTTCGTACAGGTAACGTCTAAATTTGACTATAAAGTGAAGATAAAAACTAAAACAATAACTGTGCGATGAATTCCAGTTCAAACAGCACCGTTTCTTCGATTTTGGAGTTTGATTTGAGCACAATGCCATATGAGAAGTACGACGAAGCTTCCATAAATATTGTATTGAAAGTTTGT